TATGACTAACTAACCATGTCAATTCCTGCTGTAATTCCAGCTTGAACAGAATAAGAGTAATTAGCATGAGGAGGGTCAGTAATCCGGTCAAGCCCTTGCCAATCTGAAATGACAAAACCCTGAAAGATAAAGACCAAACGAGGTTGGGTTATATACTGGAATATATCCCGACTTTACTTTAACTGGTGGAATTTTAGAATGAAGTGAAATGATCATCTTTACCCTGAACTTGAGCTTGTTCTTCAGGAAGCCAGTGATTAGGTCTCGGTTGGCATGCATCTTTCTTCCGTTCCAGCTTGAGTAAGACACCATTACCGTTGAAACACCCTTTCTGAGTGAGTCATAATATGCAGGCATGTGGATGTCAAATAAATCGTTTGAGCTGATTATAGTGTTGCTTTCATCAACACCATTCTTCGTGCCACCATCTCCCACAAAGTGCTTAGCACATGCTGCAACCTTAGTCCTTAATCATATGAAAGTTCAACAAACAACAACATCAGCATTGATAGTCTCAAAGAATCATAGATGATTTATAAGAATTTGCTAGCATAACTAACACATCGTCAAGGAAATGACGAGGATCTAAAAAGGGATAAAGATTCATACTTTCCGCCAACGTAAGGAACACCTTTCCTAGATTTAGCTGGCAAATCTCCTTGCAGACCAGGGATAATCTCAGTCATGCTTTTCACAATCCTATAATCTTCACTGTAACTTTCATAACAACGGCCCCATCTAGGATTTCTGCATACCTACCATAAAACAATTATTCAGACATAACATACATAGAGAAGCACCATATGCACAAAGTGTAATCATATCAACTCACTGCAATGCAGGGAGCAAACACATATGGAATTCCTGTAGCTCTAACTTCAAGTGCAGTTGCAGCCCCAATACGCTTCACCAATTCAGGATCCCTGCATAAAATTAGCAAATTTTTTTACTATCACTAGATGAAAAGGAAAGGAACTTAAGAATCAAAACCCGAAATTCTGAAAATCAATAATTATCACTGAGGGAATACTTGCCTGGTGACACCAAGGCCAACATTGTGAGGAAAGATTGTAGCCCCATAGACATTGTTGTGTCCGTGAACCGCATCGATTCCATAAATCATGGGAATCCCAAGCCGGGTTGAAAGAGCACCCTTTTGAATCCCATCTACCATATTGGTCCAAACCTGAGCAGTGGCCTTGGGTGCAGGTACACTGCCTCCACCACTCAGTACACTCCCTGCCAGAAAAAATATTGAGGATGAACTCCAAAATACAAGACAACAATGAATCTAAGAGAATCCTTTTTCCCCTCTCCATGCCTAAATTAGTAAAAAGTTTCACTCCCTTTTAAGTCTTAGGCCACAGTGATCTATCAATATCTTTTTTCTTAAAGGCAATACAACAATAAGTAACCAAATATACACATACTATACTATGTTGCTAGGACTCTCAAAAATATGTGTTGGATCATTCAAAGATAGTATCTCCCTGCCTAAATTAGTAAAAAGTTTCACTCCCTTTTAAGTCTTAGGCCACAGTGATCTATCAATATCTTTTTTCTTAAAGGCAATACAACAATAAGTAACCAAATATACACATACTATACTATGTTGCTAGGACTCTCAAAAATATGTGTTGGATCATTCAAAGATAGTATCTCTTTGGAGGATTTGACACATGTGCGGCAACATTTTTCGGGAGTCCGAGTAACATAGCCTATAGATGTGCCTTTTTCAAAAAACCAAATGCATATTACAAGCATACCAATGAAATTTTGCTTCATAACATCAGCTGTGGCAACGGCCCTCTCAATTTGAGTCATTTGACCAATCTTTTCCTCAAGAGTCATTCTTTTCAGCAAGTCCTTGATTCTAACACCCAATGGCTGTTTTCGGTCCTTGTATTTAATAGATCCTCCCTCAGCTACCACAGTCCACAGGCATAACACCACAAAACCCATCATGGGTATAGACATTCTCCCCATTTTTTCACAAACCCTCAATATCCTTGTGGTGGAACAATCTGCTAAAAAACATACAAATAGCAAAAATCAATAAAACTACTAAATACCAGAGTCATCAAAACAAGAATACAGAATGTTGTAAAAACAAGAATCTTTTTTTTTTGTTGTTGAAAAAGTTTTTTTTTTTAAAACAGCTTATCAAGACCACATACTAAAACACCACAAACCCATAGTCATCAAAACAAGAATACAGAATGTTGGGGGAAAAAGAATCTTTTTTTGTTATAAAGTAAAAAAAGAAAGAAAAAGCAGCTAATCAAGATCACAAGATGAACACCATAGTTATCAAAACAAGAATACAGATTGTTGGGAATACAAGAATCTTTTTTTGTTACATAGTAAAAAAGAAAGAAAAAGCAGCTAATCAAGACCACATGATAAACACCACAAACCCATCATGGGTATTCACATTTTCCCCATTTTTACCCCCTCCCCCCTCCTCAATGGCCTTCTGATGGAACAGTATGCTTAAAGCTCTTAAAAATAGCAAACTCAATAAAACTACTAAACAGTACTATAGTAAACAAAACAACCATACAGAATGTGGGAATAAAACAAGAAGCCATTTTGTCACATATGACCCCCTTCAATGGCCTCCAGCTAAAACAATCTTGTAAAACACATAAAAACAGCAAAACTCAATGTAACTACACAATGTTGAAAAAAAACGAATATTTTTTGTTACAAAGTAGTAAAAAGGAAAGGAAAAACATCTAATCAAGAATACAAGCTAACCCCATCCCTCCTCATGGACCTTCTGCTGGAACAGTCTACTAAAAGCTTATGAAAATAACAAAACAAGCATTCAAAGTGAGGAATAATACCCCCCCCCCCCCCCACCCTTAATAGCCTTCTGCTAGAACAATCTTGTAAAATTCATAAAAACAACAAAACTCAATGGAACTACAAAATGTTGAAAAAAAATAAGAATCTTTCTTGTTACAAAGTACAAATCAAGAATACAAGCTAACCCCAACCCTCCTCAAGGACCTTCTGCTAGAACAATCTACTAAAAAGCTCATACAAACAGCAAAACTCAATAGAACTACTAAATTCTCTAGTTATCAAAACAAACATACAAAATGTGGTATAAAAAAAGAAACTTTTTTGTCACATACCCCACCTCCCTTAATGGCCTTCTGCTAGAACAATCTTGTAAAACTCATAAAAACAGCAAAACTCAATAGAACTACAAAATGTAGAAAAAAAATAGAATCTTTGTTGTTACACAGTACAAATCAAGAATATAAGCTAACCCCAACCCTCCTCAAGGACCTTCTGCTAGAACAGTCTACCAAAAAGCTCATAAACACAACAAAACTCAACAAAACAAACATACACAATGTGGAACAAAAAAAGAAACTTTTTTGTCACATACCCCTTCAATAGCCTTCTGCTAGACCAATCTTGTAAAACTCAATGAAACTACAACTAATATACATACAAATGTTGGAAAAAAAAACAGCTAATCAAGAAAACAATATTTGCAAATGTGAACAAACTTACTTGTTGAGCTTCAAGTTTGAAAAAGAAGAAGAAAATGAGTAGTCGTGCAGACAACTATTAGGCAAGTTGATAGGAATTTGTGTGTATATTATGCGTGTATATATAGAAAATATACAAAATGGAAGATGCCATCTCAACTTTGAGGAAAATAACAAAAATGGTCACTTATGTTGAATGTAGATTTAAATAGTCCCTTAAATATATTTCTTGACAGTTTGTATTGTATTTCTATAATTTGATGTAATTTTTTGAGGTGCAACACTTTTATGTTAGTTTTGTTTAATTTTTTTTTTTCATAATTTTCCTCAAATTTAATGAACAGAATCTTTTTAAACATTAAATAAAAACAAATAAATGTTCACTTCTGACAAATTTACAAAGGGTTTATTGGACATGAAAAAAATTCTTCCAAAAAGTACTTTAAACACATTGTTTAGTTATGTGTTGGATAGTTTTTTTAATCTGAGTTATTCAAGTAATGATAAAATAATTCACTCACAAAACTTTATTTTTTTTCCCAGTAAAATAGTTGTTTTTCAAATATTATTTTCTTCACTTTAATTCTTAAAATATTTATTTTAAAGTATAATCAAATCTATATTCAAACTGTTCAAAAATATATTTAAGGAACTATTTCGAATCATATCCCAAATATAATGTACCATTTTTGTAAAAATATTTCTGAATGTCACTTTAGTGGAGTTAGTGGGTGGTGGGGTAGGGGATGATGAATTTAATAAAAATAATAGTAATAATTTTGAATCTGAATTTTTGACCAATACTTTGGAAATTTTATCCGTTGGTTAACGTTTTCCAATAAAAGTTTTTTTTTCTGACAATGTCATAAAATACAAATTAATGATTTGTCCATTTGGGCCCATATTATGGGGCAGATATTTTGACATTATTTATAAAACAAGGGCTCCAAGTTTAACAAAATGTGCCAATTGAGTATTTTACAAGTTATGTTTTAAAAAATAAAACTTTTAAAAAATTCAATGATTAATAGTATATATTAAAGGTCCCCAACGGCTATTGTCTACTTTTGTAAAGGTCAAGATGTATATTATTAAAAAAATATTGACGTTTGGTTATATGTTAAAAGCATATTGAGGTTTATTGTACGTATTAAGATTAAAATATTTGAATTTGAATGTATATTTGAGTAATTAAGATGTTTCTAGATATGAATACTAAATAACTATGACTATTTGTTTTTAAAATGTTTGAATGTGTATAATCTATTTAGTTTTAAATATAATAAATTTACACTTCAAATAAAATATTTATATTTGGTGCTAGTGGTTAAGTAATGGTTGGTGTTAGTGGCTAGTAATGATGGTGATAGATTTGTAGCGATCGACACAATAGTGACGATTGGTAATGGTGGTGATGACTGAAAAATGTGTGGTAGTTGACGATGATGTTGGTAATAGTTGGCAATAGTGCTAGTTATGATGGTGGCGACGATGGTGGAGGTAGTGGTGACTAGTTATGATGGTTGTGGTGACAATGGGTGGTTAGCGATAATGATGGTGATTAATCGTTATGATGGTATGATTATGATGACAAAGATAATTAGTGATGACGACCGGTAATTATGGACACAATGATGATATAAATTATCCATGCAAAAATATCACTCAACGATATTAATAATAAGATCTTTATTTTGAGATATTAATGATTAAGAATAACTGCTTAAATCTTAATGTAAACAAATGCAATTAATAACCTAAACGTCCTAAAGTATGACCATTTAGATTCAAACCTCTATTAAGGGCAAACAGATAAGACATTTAATCTTCAATTAATTAAATTATGCAATTTTAATCCCTTTTTCTAGTAGTATTCACAAATTTTGCCATAATTACTAATTTTCCCACAATTTAATCACTAATATCAAATTTAAATTTATATTATTATTCCGTATTTCACGATAATATAGTTATACAAATAGTTAAATATCACACATTTTCTACATAAATGTTTAAAAAATACATATTTTAATCTATTTAAAGTTAAATATGTTGAGAAGTATATCACCAGGACCAAAACAAAACTTACCCATGATATATATATATATATATATTACACACACAATTTTATTATTTATTTTAAAAAAAAACCTTGGTGAATCAATAATTTGAGATGAATTTGGTGCCTCATAAATATAACTGTTCAATTCATTATAATATGGATATAAGAAATAAGACCACAAATTAAAGTAATCTTCATTTATACATGAACTCACATGCATGACATTTAAATTAGGGACTTTATTTATTTTTTTAAAATAACCTTATGTTTTGAAAAACTATTTTACATAAATTTATCCATTTGTAGATTATATAATATATTTTTAATTACACAAAAAATATATTTAATATTGGAAATAATGAACTAATTTATGATTAAAATCAATTTAGATCTAAGCCAAATTCAATCAACTACTTCTTAGAATTTATACTATATTTAGATCAAATTAATTGTATATATATAGAATTAATTTTTTATTAGCGTGAGTTGTCCAATTATGACTTGTAATAAGGTTAGATTTCTATATTAATGATTATACCAAACATCATAATACTTCCTTATGAATCCTAAATTTTTGTGCTGCGCGATACATGGATATATAGTTTTTTTTCCCACTAATTCAATCAAAATATTTTTGGGCCAAGAATACTATGCATTTTTCAGTGAAAATTTCAATGAGATTATTTGGTTGTGCCATCTTTATTTACAAATTTGGTAAAAAAATTAGTAGCTTTAACTCAAATTCTGTATTTATATATATTTTTTTTAAAAACACTTAATATATATAAATAGTCTATACCATAACCTGTTCTAGCTTAAAATCTTGGATCTGTAGTTTTTTAAGATTCTCCTTCAATATTTAGTGCTAATTAATTACATCTATCTTAAAAATTAAATATAAATAGTGATAATTAAGCATGTGGCATGTGGATAATAATCGTGGGTTGTTTAAGTGATAGTTGAAAACCCAACATCCCATGTTTCCACACTTTTAAAAAGCGTTTAGTCACTTAATAAAAAAAATTAAAATAATTATACATCTTAAGTTTTTGGTAATTTAAATAATTTTTGTCTATTATTTCAAGAAATACACCTATTTAACAGGTAAAAGAAAATAAATATCGAATCTAACTCAACCATCAATTTCCTTCCTCAAATATGAACACTAAAGGGCGGTTTGGTTGCCAAATATTATGGGGCTATAAATCACTATTTCAATCTCTAATATTGTATATAGGATATTTAACCAATCTAGAGATAATTACACTATAGTGCGGTTCATAAAGTTACATTACTTAGTTGTATTCTATAATGAAATTCTACCATTGCTGATAATAAATTCTTACTATTAATTTTTGTTTCACAAACTCACATCAAAGATATCTTATTTTTGCTAACCTTCTACTATGAAAAATCGAATAAATCCAACTAGTCCACTTTCAATGGGACTGGATTTCTCTTGCAAAATTTATCTTTAATTATTTATCAAAAATATTTAATCCCACCTTATTTCATAATGAAACTCCACTATTACTAACAAGTAACAATATATTCTTATTAATTTTTCTCTCATAAATCCAACTGGGGAGTGCTGTTCAGACATTGCTAAAGTTCGGAAAGCTTCAACGTTTGAAAGTTAAATTTTCACAAATAAGTTATGTTTCAAGTTAGTATTGTTAACAAAGATCAATTACATATATTGAGAAGTGTAAATATAAAATTTTGGGTCATTTGGTGTAGTTTTAAAGTGTTTTTGGATGAATTTGGTGCTTAGGTTCAAGAAAAATGACAAAGCAGTTCTTTTTTGAGCAACTTTCACATATAACAAACACAAAATTCATATTTGTATGCTATAGCAAAGTTTGCATAATTGCGCTCCATAGCAAACATATATATGTATAATTTGCTATACATATACAAAAAAAAAACAGTTGTATAATCTGCTTTGGTATACATATACAACAAGATCAATTGTATAAAGTGAGAGAGGCGAGTGAGCGAGCGAGATCTGGGAGAGTGGCGAGCGA